ATGAAATTCTCACAGAGTAAGATTTCATAATTAAAGGTTTTTTTTATTTCTTCACTTTTTCTTTAATACAAAGCTTTGGCATCAGCAAATTTTATGAAAAAATAGAATGTACTAAATAATTGCTTGTGCTGCATGATCGATAAATGATGCATAAAAATAGGTGTCTCTCTCCAAGGCAATCGGCCGGAAAGCGTTTCTTCAATAGCATTCTGCTCTGCAGGGCAGAAAAAAAAAGGAACAAAAATATTTATGTTAAAGTTAATAGTGCCAATACTAAAAAAAAAAATCCTATAAAAGTAAGTTAGTGAAAAATGACTAATTATACAAAGCCAGAGCATTAAGAGATGTCTGCATCTGTCAAGAGGTCTGAGCACTTCTAAGCTTTTGAGGACACTCCATCTGCTACTGAAAACTTTCTCTAAGTGGTGCTATCCAACATTTGGGCTTTTTGGGCTTAAACCCACACTCACACAGTAATTTCTGACTGTTTTCTAGGAAGCAAGGCAAACTTTGCTGCTTCTGTTCCTTTCAAACTTGTTATACTGGTGCTGTAAGGGTATTTTGAGACCTAGAGAAAGCAGCTGGTTCCTTATTTTATCACTTAGACAATATTTACTTTTATCACAACTATTTAAAAATGCATGTGTGTCTATTTATACACACACACACACATATACATATTCACAGTTAAATATGTATATACTTACAACTCCAGAACTAATGCTCTAAATAACTGTTTAAGCTGTGGGAAGGACATAGTAAAGAAAAGGTACAGGATATGTTTTTAGGTGAGTTTTAAAGCAGAATTTCCGGTCTTTTACTTGCATCAGCATATTACATGGCCTCATTCTTGCTACTGTTGTTTTTCAATAAGCAAACCCTCTCAGAGTCCTCTTGAAACACTACCATAAGAAAGGCAGGATATGCCAGCATTGCTTTTTACATGGAGAGCAGCATAAAAAGCAGGTATGCTGTTTAATAGAAAATGCAATGAGAAGGAGCTGCCATATATCTGGCATGATAATCAGCACAGGAAATTCTTTGTCTGGCACTGGGAAGGTGTCAGTGAAACAATAAATCTTTGCATTAGTGCCATTTTAAAGAGTCTAAAATGAGTAATTGAACCCAGCAGCACTTGTGGAGGCTGCTCAGATCCCAAAGGATTCAGATGAAGAGCTGCTGAGGTTAAAGGCCATGGCCAAGAACCTCAGTTACACAAATAAGTGATTTTTGAAGCTCTGGCTGCTGGGTTGTGAGTTTTCTCAAGTCTGTCTCAAGCACACCCTTGATGTGCTTGCATTTCAATTCCTATCACTGAGAACAGGAGCTCTCCTTGTATCAGCACACCCTTTGTTTGTACTGAGGGAACATCACTGTGAAAACACTTTGCTGGAGGCCCAAAGTCCCTGCCAATGAGCAGCTGCTTGTCCTTGCAGTAAAAACAGTCCCAGATCCCACTGAGCAACAAAAAGAAGAGTTGCAAGGAAAGGCAGAAATGCAGCTGCTATCAGTGCCCACATCTGGATGAGACTTCATGGGCTCCAGCTCCTCCTCCTTCCCAAGGATGTGCAAGCGCCCAGCAATGCAGACATTCCTGTTCCGCACCTCATCTTGCCCCATGCTTTCCCAAGCTGCTTTTCCAGGCAGATTAAAGATTAACTATGTTCAGCTGCAGCTCTGTCACCAAGCTGCTGACTGATGGCTGCAACTTCAAGATTTTGACAAATGGAAAAAAAAAAATCAGTAGACTTGATAGGGATTTTTGAAGTTCTAAAGTTTTCTTCATGAAGCCCTTTTGGAATCAGCATATGAAAAGAGGAGGAAGATTTGCAAATTAGTGGTAATCAAAAATTCATGATGACCAGTATTATGCACCCTCCTGAAGATCATTAGCTTGAGATTGCCTAAAATTTTACGCTGGAGACTCTTTGATACCTAAAATTTTACACTGGAGACTATTAGACATGTTTCCATCTTACTGAGGACACCTTATACTTTCCAAATAGAAAAAGGAAAAAAAAATAAAATTCCAAGCCCCTTCTCTTATGTCAAAGAAAAAAAAAATCAAAGAAAATGTTTATAAAGCTGCATTTCCCAGCTGCATTTCTTTGGATCTCACCCCACTTCTAGTAGAGAGATCAGCACTTTTAATAGAAACTCAGCTGTGTCAAGATGTTCAGAGACAAAGAAAGATGTTGACACTTTGCCTTCCCAAATAAAAAATTAAATTAAGATTAAATTAAGATTAAACATACATCTTGAACCCATATATTCTGTACACCTACATGAAAATAACTAGATGTACCTGGTTAACAGATCTGCAAAATAGATTTATACTTGGCCACACACAGAACTATAAAAGAAAGACTGAAAGTCATCTGCTAGGGTAATTTCTTCTCCAGCCTGCCTGAAAGGAGGCTGGGGGTTTCCAGGTCGAAAATGTGCAAACTAGGAATACAGGATTTTTTTTTTTTAATACGAAATTTGACTATAAAATTGAGGTGGAAACTGTAAAAGGTAACTGCTGGTAATAAGTTTTGGCTCTGGCAGGTGAATTTTGAACATAGGAATTTAATGGCAGAAATCTAATGCTTACCTAGAACATAGATCATAAATATTCTGTTTTCCCCTTTTCATGTCTCTATTTAGCAAAGAGATTTCCTCAGACAACCCAGCTAAATATAAATTAGGAGGAACTTTACATGTCACCCTGAAAGCTGCTGTTAACAGAGACACTCTGTTTGAGAAAAGCAGGAAATGAATTTGATTCCTTGAAAATTCCATATTCCCCCTTCTGCTGGTTTTTATTCCCAACATTGTCCATGACACATACCCACCAGAAATGCACAGAAACATCTGAGTATTTACTTACTCATTAGCATTCAAGCTAGCTGTGGCTTTGATGATCATGTAGCAGAGTGTAAGGGCACTGAGGAGGCCAAAACTGGCAATAATAAACCATTCTTCTGTTGACAAAGGAAAGGGAGGAAATCACTCGTGGGAGAAAGCGATGCCAATATTTCCCTCAAACACCACTGGCGGAAGGCAAGAGGCTTCTAAGCCATGACTGGCCCCAGGAGGTGAAGCAGAAGGAGGTTAAGCCACAGAGTTACTGACTGGAGAAGGCTAGCAAAGAAGAAGTGGAGAGAGGTGCAGAAAAAAAGCATGGCACAAACAGTATTTCCTGCCTGAGCCCAAGGGTTAGTGATAAAGAAGTTACTTAACAGTGTAAAGTGAAATGCAGGATCAAGGGGAGGTGTAATGAGAACTCTGTCCATCCCCAGGCCAGAAAGACGACTGTCAGGGTGGGTTAGGTTTGGTGAGATGCAGTGTTTCACACAAACACATCCCAAGTACTGTCACACCTCAGCTGTGTCTTGGCCCCCTCCCTCCTGGATTTATGTTACAGTGTTATTTAAAACCCAACAAAAATCAGGATAGATTGCTCAACAGTAAAACATAACTACAGTTTTCTACTTAATAGACAGATATGCAAGGAAAAATAATTTCAATACTAGGGTAGACACAAACACAAATTAAATAAAAAGTAATACAAAGAAGTCTATTAAAGAGTGTTCACTATTCCAAATTCTCTCCAGGATCAACCTGGCATACAGTAACAGTTCAGAATACAAACACTGTTGTTGAACAGCTTTTGGTTTAACTCTGATGCACCAAAGAATGCATGTGTCATCCATAAATACAAACATTTCAAGAGCCCTTCCTAAGGCTTTACTTTATAAACATTGTCAGAATGAACTGTTGGTGGTTATTTCTTGTTTTACCCTGGCATCCCATCTGTGCACAAGCAGCACTACAGCTGGGAACAGACAGTAAAAAACACCTTCTGAAAAGGCAGTTAGTAAAAAGTGAAAACTACAGTTCTCCCACCCATGACAAGGAAGCAGCACAGCAACAGATCTGTTCTTCCTCAACACAACTGGGTGCAAGGTGAACACTGGATGGCAAAGTGACTTACTGGCTTTGTGGAGAATCCAGATTTTGTATGTGGATTTTTCCCTCTCAGATCAGGATATTTCTAGATATGGACTATGTTTTTTATGATGTGAGGTTTTTTTTAAATGAGACATTTACTTAGCTACATCACCTAAAGAAACATGTTTATGAACTGCATTGGTTTCACTGCCTTGTATACATGTATCAGTGGCAACCAGTGTCACTAAGTTCAAAATCTAGATCACAGATGCACATAAACAAAACACAAGCAGAAAATTAGACTATTGTACTGCAAGGATTCTATTTTTCAATTCAGCCAGGAAAACAACCATTCATGCATCAAGTTGAGACTGTACAGCATATGGAAAACTGATGCAATTCCACCCAATCTTTGTGGAATTTATTATAGTGCTATTGCACATTAAAAACCCTAGGTAAATTCCAGTAAGTGGAAATTTTCCATGCTACTCTAATAGATAAGAGCTTTCAAGCAGTGCAGGAACAGTTTTCTGATGTTATAAAACACTTGGACAGTACTCAAATGTTGGCACATCAAACGCCTCTTTAAGTCACAAATTTTGTAAGAAAAAACACCTGCTAAGTGACGTCAGAATTCCAGTAGCAATGTTCTCAGGAGAAAAAATGTCTGCAGAAATAGCTATCAGCTAAAATATTTATATTTAATAAATTATTGCATGTAAAGTATTCTGAAGGGATAAATAACAGTTTTGGCAATCCAGCTTCTTGTGCTGGTTACCGAATTCAGGAAGGTTATTTTGGTGCCATTTCAGTTCATCCAGGGTTCTTTGTACACGGATCTAAATGGATATACCATTAATAATGGAAGTGTTGGCACTGTCATACCCAGAGTTATTGGTTCCAATAAGGAGCATATGCCTCTTGCAGAGACACAGAGGTCACCTTTGTCCCTGCAGGGACATCCATCACCAGGGCCCTGCAGCACAGAGGGACACACACACACACACACACACACAGACACACCACGGATGCCGTAGACGGTGCGGGAGCCAAAGGACACTTACTTGTCACTGCAATGTTGATCTCTCCTGACCTTGGTGTCAGCTCCCCGTCCTGTGGCAGCTGTGACATGCCCGAGGTGCGCAGGGGCTCCAGGCTGAGGGA